CCTCCTCCACCTCCACCTGGCAGCTTGCAACATCACCAGCATCAACATCAGCAGCAGTATCACGCTCCCCATCCTCATCAATTTCAGATGCAGCACAAAGCACAATCGACATCGATTAAAGATGATCCCGATTACAACTTCAATAATCCGTACTACATGAGAATGCCAACATCGTTAGCTGGTAACGCCGCTGCAACAGCTGTGCAGCCATCATCAGCAATGTCTCCAAACTCTGAAGTCTATGAACCTTTAACACCAAAAAATGACGAAAATTCTAGTCTATGTAATGGCGTGGGCGGTGGCGATGCGCCTGAAGATTTGAATGAAACTAAAACAAAATTACGTGTGAGTTATGAACGTTTTTACATTTTGTTTATTGTAGAATTTAATCCGTCTGTCCGTTCCCTTATAAACACTAGTATTACGATGAAATTTGGCTAACTTACTTTATATAAAAACATAAAAAGACAAACCTCATTAAAAATTTATCCGATATCATAACTAAGTAATGAGTTATTTACGATTAATAAATTTTCAGAAAAGGGTTTTATTTCTCAAAATAATTTTCATAAATATAAAACATATTGGAGTAAAATTATATTATGATTTCATTATTAATTCATTAGTTAGAATTAACTCCTGACGCTCAAATCCGTTGTCATTTTGATGACGTGACAAGTTAAAGTGCTATATTCGGCTATGCCGAATCTTAAGTACCCTCCACCAGCAAGCTACTATTTATTAGAACCCATTTAACTATTTAGTTTTTAGATAACTCGGCATAAGTTTTGTTTCCGTAGTGAGGGTACTATCATTTAGTAATTTTTTTATGCATATATGGAACTTATTTTGATTAGGTCGGACAAAATTTATTTTAAGTGATTTTCGGATATGGACTTTTGTTGTTGGCCTATAAGGGAGCTTTGACTATTAATGGACCGATCCGGAAAAATTCCGTATACTGATTTATATATACACAAAAATCGAGATAGTCTGAAATTTTTACAAATAATTGTTGACGTTGTGAACCGATTTTGCTGACTTTCAATACCAAACTGCTTAGGACAATAGTTAATATTTTTGGTGAATTTGGTTTATTTCTTTTGTTTAGTTTTAACATGAGTGCGTTTTAGGCAGACGGGCAGACAGACGGACATAGCTAAATCAACTCAGAATTTGATAAGGAACCGGAATATACTTTGTTGGGTCTCAGATGAATATTTCTTGGTGTTACACACGGAATAACAAACTTATATATACCCACTATCACTACTGATGCATCAGTATAATAAATAAATCAGTATAATAAATCGAACGCAGAGTATGTTGTTCTAAAGCGTCAATTGACTTCCTCCTAAGACATGACAATATTTAGAAAACCTGGCCACTTAGCTAATTTTGCGGCTAGTGGTAACCCGAGATTTCTAATTCTGGGCTGCCAGTTCTAACTGTGGGGTTTAAAAGATTAATGATTACAACAATAATCATAATTAGTATAAAAGAATAGATTCGGCATTATTACTTCATATCGTCTAAATCATCTATCTATATATGTACATACATACATATATAAAAATTAATGTGTTTTTGTTTCGTTTATCTTGGAAACTTTTACAGTAATAATCTTAAAATATTGCACGAATAACTTTAACATCCATGTAACAATCCATTAGGGGAGCCGCACCTCCCATATTAATTAAATACAAAAAATCGTTTATCTGGGAAACTAATAGAACTAAATTCTTAAAATTTTGCGCGAAGAACTATTCATCTGAACATTTTGGAGAAAAAAAGACGGATTTTCATCTGGGTGGAAAATTAAATTCCATATTTCATTTGCTTTTGAACATACATATGTATGTATGTCGATGTGGATATTTGGGTTATTTTTTAATGATAGAGGACATACAAGACACATATTGGACTTCAACTCCACGGTTTTCTAGATCCTTTTTTTCCAGTATTGCGATTTTGAAAATTGCTTATTTTTGGCTCACCTAATATTGCGGAAAAAATTTATTTTGTATGTAGTTCGATTCGTATTTGGAAATCTCCCTCCTAGAATTTTTCGAAAATTACTCTATTTTTGGCTGTTTTCCTACTTATTCGTCGTTTAATATTTAATAAAAAATAAATAATAACAAATTTTTAAATCCCAGCATTTTATTCATAAAATCCCGGTTTTCCGTGTTTTGAAACCCCTTGAAATCCGGTGTTTTACGTGAGTATATAAAACTGCAATATATTTCAATTCAAATAAAAATGCCCCGTCAACCCCGTTGTTTCCCCCAAAAAGATGAGTTGGTTTAACATTCACAAAAGGTACCAAAATATATAGTGCCTAAACATTTCCTTTCTTAAGTCACCAAAAGCGGAGGAAATGACAGAGAATGTCGTTTAATTTACCTTTTCTTTATTGCAACCTATAAAGAAGTCATTACATGAAGAAAGTTTAATCCTCTAGGGATTTCATGGCTGCTTTGTTATCAGTGGATTTCCTTAATATATATCCCATAATATGCCCCCCGGGGGCATGTTACCTCGATGAAAGAACCCATCTTGATGTGATTGCAATCCCGGGGAAAAGAGGAGGAGGACCTCTAGTCTGGCGGGTCTATAAACTGGTGATGATCAAAAGTATTCCTTGGAATGAAATGCCGAGGATACATTTGAAATGGGGTCGAACCTGCGTTCCACATGATCTGATACTACGAATGGCCAGTTGCCCGCAGGACTTTGTCCTGACTGTTCGGTTGGTTGAGGTTCCTTCGGGATTCACCAAGTGCACGGTGAAATCTATAATTCGGGATAAGTTCGGCACTGTTGTCGAAGTCAACAGATACCTCACAAAGGTGGTGTTAAGTGTAAGTGATACGGGCGGTGAAGATCCGTATAGTGAGTGTGTCGGATGAATGAAAAGTGTGCTCGGTTGAATGGTGATGGATGAAAGATACCTTATACAAGTGATACCATTGAATTTTCTTTCCTTGTCCAGGTATACTGACAGAAAACTCTGTTTATATATTTCGAGTACTTGAGCAAAGTGCTTTTACATGGACCGGCAAACCCATGTACAAAAAAATAAGATACATAAAGGGGCGGTGGCGAGTCGTCAAAGAAGCTCATTCAGTGGATGAAAAAGGCCATCGTGGAATAGCCCAACACGGCAGGAGTTCACGTAGAGAACTTCAACATAATACGGTTCCCATGGTGCATGTTTCCTTGATGATCTTCACATTTCCGGTTTTAGTTGAACTTTAGTATAAAATGAAGTGTTATAACATGTTATTTTTAGTTTCTTTTGTAATGTGTTATATTTCTAGTTTTTAGTTTAGAACTAATATTAGAAAATAATTTTTTAACTTTAATCTTGTCATAAAATGCCAAACTTTGGCCCCCGAAAACTTTTAAGTTTTAGTATTCACAAGTGTCCGTTTTTTTAATAGACGATTTAAAATTAAATTTAAAAGGTTGGCAATCGTTCCTAAACGTAAAAATAACGGTTCGGTAAAGGAATTTTAACGATAAAGGTAATTTCGAGAGTTGTAACGAAAAAAGTAGTATGATTGTTATTTTTCAAATGTTTTTTTTTAGACCCTTTGCCCAAGATTTGTCAAGCTTTTTCGGTATGTATTAGTATTCACTTGAAAATTTAATTTAAGTATCCGTTGAATGCAAAGCTAATATAAAAGTATTCGAAACCGGTTTTTAAAGTAAAAATACCGGGTTATTCGATATTCGAAAAATCAACATTTACAAAACACCGATTGTAGTAAAACGGTAAAAACCGGCAGGAAAACCGACCAGACCAACCTAATATCTACTCCTAAATATTCATATGAATATCAATGTTCATCATGAACAATTTGAAGACTGTAGAGGTTATAATTTTTCAGATATACGAATTTTAGTCATAAATTCATAAATTGAGATGCCACGACCTCTATTCCTAGTATGTCAATTTTTGTTCTAAACATTCATATTAAAACTAAAGTTAATCGTACAAAATTTGGTGGCTCTAGCTTTTAAAGTTTTTCAGATAGAAGAATTTCGGTTTTGAATTCATTGGGAGGTGTCACGCCCACTATTACCAGTTCACCAAATTTTTTCCAAAATGTGTATATGGGTGTCAAAATTTTCCGTGCAAAATTTAAGGATTCTAGCAATTGAATTTTCGTATATATGCGACTTTCAATACTTATTTTCAATGTGGTCGTGGCACATCGCCCATTCAAAATTTCAAAACAATAAGTGGAGTATAATATCTTCCAAACTTATAGGATATACTGTGAAAATTTGAAGATACTCGGTTTATTGGTTATCAGTTTATGGACCATAAATAAAAATACAAGCAAACACACAAATTTCAAAAGTTTTATTCATAAATTTATATATATCTATATATATTAGGGTGATCGACTCGATTTTTCAACCGGTTTTAAAACCGGTTTTTTCTGCTTTACCAGTGTCGGTTTTTTCTTAATGTTGATTTTTCGAATATCGAATAACCCGGTTTTTTCACTTTTTAAAAACCGGTTTCGAATACTTTTATTTGCATTGTATTCAAAGATTATTTAAATGAATTTTTTAAGTAAATAATAATACAGCTAAATTTTAAAATTAGTTGAGTCGAGGAACTAGCGTATATTTTTCTAAAGCTCCTTTGGTTAAACTTTTTTGATTTTCCTAATTAAATAAAAAAATTTATTTGTAAAATTGATAACTGTTTGATAAAATTTTATCAATCTTAAGATTATATTCAATTTACAATAATTAATTTACGGCTGAAATTTTATGGATGTGTTGTCCTACACAGGGCTTTTGAAATAAGCTAGGATTACATAGTACCTTATGTTTAACAGAAGTGTCCCACTTTTTTCCTAATTTTTTTATATTAATGAAATAATGTAAATCAGACGACTAGATCTATAGTTATAATCTTTTAAACTGTTAAAAATCATTTCTGGCCATGTTTTATTAATCAAATTTAAACATAAACATTAGGTTAGGTAGGCAGGTCGTCCTCGCGATGTCATCACTGGGGACACACTTGGGTCCAGAATTTTGATCCCTTTGTGATACCTGAAACGAGAGAGAACGGTCGGCGTATTAGTACACTTCAACCTAATCACTCTGGTTTCCACCGAACCAGTTTGTCGCACGAATATAGGAATCTATCTTTCGGATATCAACCTCCGATAGATCCGCTAAGTCATGCAGAAAATAGCTACCTAGCAGACCCACTCTGTGATCAGCTAGGGCAGGACAATGACAGAGGAAGTGAGTTATACTCTCTTCTTCCTCTTCATCCTGGCAGCTCCTGCAGAAGTCGTTACTGGGTAAGTTCAGTCTTCTTGCATGGAGTCCGAAAGGCCAGTGGCCAGTTACCACTGCCGTTAAGTTCCGTAGATTAACTCTCGGAATGTAGAAAAGGGCTTGGGATCTTTGTGGGTCGTAAGATGGCCACATGATCCTTGCCTGTCTACAGGTGGCTTCAGTCGACCATCTGCATTGCGCAAGCTCATATAGTTTTTCACGTATCGAGCGTTTGCAGGTTGAAAGCGGTATACCGACAAAAGGGTCGGTATGCTCTCCTGCAAGCGAGGAGCCTAACTTGGCAAGAGAGTCCGCGATGGTATTACCAGGAATTTGCTGATGTCCTGGAATCCAATACAGTCCTATTGTGGAATGTTTCGCCATCTCGTTAAGGGATGCCCGGCATTCTAGGACTAAGTTTGACGTCGTGTAGACACCACTTAGAACCTTAAGGGCTGCCTGGCTGTCGGTATAAATTCGAATATTAACACCGTATATTCGATAAAACCTGAGCCAGTTTGCAGCCCGTTTAATGGCTGATAGTTCAGCCTGAAGGACGCTACATTGGTCAGGAAGCTTGAATGATACTTCCGTTCCCGAATGTGCTATGTAAAAGCCACCGCCTACACCATGGTTTGATTTTGAGCCATCAGTGAAAACCTTATACGATCCATCATGGAGGATTGTTTCCATCACATTTGGGTCGTCTCGGATATTCACCGAAAAGCTTCTATCAAAAGACGGTTTGGCGATGCAATAGTCGATATTGCCAGGAATTTCTCCTAGACAATTGAGGATGGTGGAGTGACCTGACTGAATCATATGCCACATACCAATTGTATTGAGTCTAATAGCCGCGTTGAGGGCAACCTCTTGGGCCATTAGATCAATAGGTAGCCATCCCATCATGACAAAGAGAGCCTTTGATGGGGTGGTGCGGAGAGCCCCCGTTATCAACAGAGCTGATGTGCGAAGGATTCCCTCAAAACGTTTGCGGTGTGAGTCCTTTTGTACAGACTTCCACCATACAAGTGCACCGTACAATAGTATGGGCTTGACTACCATGTCGAAGAGCCATTTGGTATTCTTGGGGTTTATGCCCCATGATTTGCCAATTGCTCTTTTACACGAGTATAAGGCCGCAGCCGCTTTTGATACTCTAGATTGAGTGTTCAAATGCCATGATAGTTTTGAATCTAGGATTACTCCCAGATATTTAGCACTATCCGATAACTTCAATTCTATCCCATTCAGTCGTGGGAGAGTGAAGGTGGGTATCTTGTACTTCTTAGTGAAGAGAACAAGTTCCGTTTTCGATGGATTAACACCAAGGCCACTGACGTTGCTCCATGTACTGAGTGTCCTGAGTGCAATCTCCATCCTTTGCGATAAAGTATCCAGATATTTGCCAGATACTACTACAGACACATCGTCTGCATATGCTATTACCTTAAATCCCATAGATCTAAGATCCATAAGAAGTGGGTTCAACGCTAGGTTCCACAGAAGTGGAGATAGGACTCCACCTTGTGGGGTACCGCGATTTGCCACTTTTGTGACATTTGCTGCTCCCATTTCGGAGATAATGATTCGCTGAGTCAGTAATCTCTTGATGAAAGCTGTTATTGGTTGGTTTATACCCAGACCAGTTAGGGCCGTTGTTATCGACCCAGGGTGAACATTGTTGAAAGCCCCCTCGATGTCCAAGAAGGCAACCAGTGTATATTCCCCTTGCGCTATTGTCTTTTCAATGTGACAAACTAGCGAATGTAATGCAGTCTCAACAGATTTTCCCTTCATGTAGGCATGTTGAGATGCTGATAAATGGTCAGGTTTGATATGTATTCTGAGATGCAGATCAATTATCCTTTCCAAAGTTTTGAGAAGAAAGGAGGATAGACTAATTGGTCTAAAATCCTTTGGCTTCGTGTGAGAGGTCTTTCCTCCTTTCGGAATGAAAACCACTGTGCACTTGGTCCAGGGTTCGGGTATATAAGACCATTTTAAACAGGCATCATATATCCGCGTTAGCCAAGGCATAAGATGGACAGCATTGTATTGCAAATCCGCAGGTATTATACCGTCAGGACCCGGTGATTTGTAGGGGTCGAAGCTGTTTATCGCCCAGTTGATTTTATCTTCATTTATGGATATTCCTGTATCAGCTGGGAGATCTGTAAACTGCATGTCAGTACCGTTTTCCGGAGATTGACAGCCTGGAAAGTGAGTGGCCATTAAAACTTCTAAGGTTTCTTGGCTACTGGTCGTCCAACTGCCACAAGGTTTCTGAATGAAACTTGGGACAGGAGGAGTAGATGATAAGATTTTGCGCAGACGACTGGTCTCAGAAGAACCTTCCACGCCGCTACAGAAGGTTTTCCAAGATTTGCGCTTTGCATTTCTTACCAGGTTCTTGAAACGATTAACCGAGGTCTTGTAAGAAATCCAGTTTCCTGTTTTCTTTGCCTCGTTAAACAGTCTGCGCGTCTCTTTTCGAGATTTCGCAATGTCCGCAGACCACCATGGGGGCCTGCATCTGCCTTTGTGCATATTCTGTTTACAAGACAGTGAAGTCGCGTGTTTGAAAGCTTGATTTATGGTTTCAACCGCGTTTTCTATGTCCGATCGGTTTTCGATGATCGGTACATCCTGGAGTGAACGTGAGATTAGCCCCATTTGCATTTCCCAATCTGTTCGTCTCCTGTTTATAAAGGGCTTTGGGGCCACTTTGTCAACTACGATTTCAAAATCGATGTACTGATGGTCAGAGAAAGAGCAGTCACTTGAGACTCTCCATCCCCTTATCCTATCATGATGCATAGAACTAACCAGCGTAATGTCGAGAACTTCCCTTCTGTTTGAAACAATAAAGGTCGGTTCGGATCCTGTATTTAAAATATCAAGATTATTGCTTAGAATGAAGTTAAAGATTGACTCACCTCTAGCGTTTATGTCCGAGCTTCCCCAGACAGTGTGATGGGCATTGGCATCAGCCCCCATAATGATCGGCATGCTTTTCGAGTTTGCCATCTCTATGGATCTGCAGACCAGGTTGTTCGGTGGCTGGTCGCTGTGGTCGTGAGCCATGTACGCCGAGATAACCAATATAGCACCTACACTGGTCTCCCATATGGCTGCTACGGTGTCTTCATCACTGAAATCAGAAAGAATGAAGATGTTGAGACTGCTTTTGGCTACTATACAGGATCGAATCTTACCAGATCCTTTTGCGTACAATAGCTTAAAGCTTTTCATGCCTAGTCCACTCACCCTTTCTTGGTGAATCCAGGGTTCCTGGACTAGGGCGAGCTCCTCCCCACTTACACCCATTCGGAGGAGCAGTGCAGCCGAGGCTGCTTTGGAGTGGTGGAGATTAATTTGGGTTACTCTCACCATCTCCTTTTTTGTCCTTACGCAACACTGTGACGTTGGCGTCCTCCTTGTCAGAGGCAAGGAGATCGTCCTCGTCAACTGACTCTTCCCCCTCCTTAACCAACTTAGAAGTTGATTGACTCAGCGAAAGGTCAGTCTCGTCGCAAGACATATCCGCAGCGGATTGGTCAGGATCGGGATCATCCTGTTCCAATAGTCCCTTGTCATCGCCTCGGTAGACACGGAGGAAGATCGACTCGAAGCCGTAGTAGACCTTCCCTTGTTTCTCGCGAAGCGGCGCCAAAGACTCCTGGTTCAGGATCACAACAATCCTTCTGGAGCTTCCTACAGGTTGAGAAACCCTGACGACCTTCCAATCTTGAGTTGGAAGATCCGGATTGCCAACCTGTAGAAGCTCCAGTATCGCTGCCTTTTTGTGTGGTTCCGCAGGAATTATGGCGGTGGATCTAGGCCTTCGTGGGATCTCGTCCACAGAGACCACTTCCAGCTTAGCACCTTCCCACGGATCCTTTATCAGCGACACAGCCTGCTTCAGGAGCAAAGCTGAGCGCTCGTTGGAACAGGCCATTAGCTTCACTCTGTTGTGAAACCAACCGCCGTCCACACACTGTGGGGGGGGACCAGGGTTCTGTTTAAGAACTTCCCAGAACACCCCCATCAGCTTTTTTCGCACTATGTCCCATCTGGATGGAGACATAGCGCCATCTATGTCACCCCTGTCGATGACAGCACGCGTGAATTGGTTCTCAACCACTTCACCGGAGGTCCTGTCATGCGGCTTGGGGGGCAACGGTTTCGGACGTTTTGTCCCGGGCTGCTGGCCCTGAAGATTAGTCTCCTCCTCAGAACGTTGCCGTTTAGGCGCGTCCTTAGACGTGAGGGGGGGACTCTTCTCCAGAACGGCCAATTTTCCCTTAGCCCATTCTAGAGAGGACTTGTCCTCTTTACTTAGCGACTCAACTGGCTTGCCAGCTAAGCGCGCTAGAATTTTGGCGGCGGAGCGCCGTTGTAGGAAGGCCCTTCTTGCTGGTGTTACGTGCCTGGGGGTCTTACTATTCGCCGTGTTGGCATTGGGAGATGCCGTTTGAGAACCCGAAATCTTGTTCGCAGTTCCCTCGTGCATAACCGGCACTGGGGTTGCTACCTTGGTTTTGGTGGCCTTAGTAGTCCCCGAAACAGGGGGTTTTATCGGCATTTTGCCAATACGGACCTGAGCTGCCTTTGAGGTACTTGGGGTGACGTCCAGAGGTGCCTCGCTGCTTATTTTGCTGCATCCAGCTTTGGAGCCAGATGCTGTTATTGTTTTGCGACTGCAGGATCCAGGCTTCCCTAAATCCGCAGACGCTTTTGTTTTGGGTTTGGCGCCGGTAGCATTCAGACTAGCCCGACCCGGTGTCTCCGCCGGACTAACCTGGGTGGCAGTAGCACTCGACTCTCCACAGCCTGTCGCCTTCGCCGTGGGGGTAGGGTCTCCGGAGATTATTAGGCCCCTTACCGGATACGCGGGGCACGGTTTCTTGTCGGACATTGGACATTAAAAACGGTGTGCATTTTATACTTGCTGCCAAGTATATGATTCTGCATATGATGTGCTTGCAAGACCACCAAGCCGCCCAATGTGGGAACAGACGCTGGTGGATTTAGACGGACCGTCGTGGAGTTTAGGGATCTAAGGATCCCGAACGGACTGTACTGTCAAAAGATACACATCCGAAGGATGAGTAGAGATCTTTTGACAAGTACTTGGACTGGTAGCCGCCCCATCGGGGAGAAACAGACGCTACCAGTCGTGGGAAGGGTAGTTCTTAGTATGTGCTCGTCATGAGCCCCTCTGGCATGGGTAGCCCTACCAGCACGGCCTGCATGGGTCATCACACATAAGCCTTCGCATCGCGTCAAGATGACTACCCGTCGCGAAGGAACATAAACATTAAGTTTTTCAAATTAAAATATTTTTTTTTTTATTTATAATGAAAAACCGGTTAACCGGTTTTTTCTGAATTTGAAAAATATCAACCGGTTTTTTTTAAATGTCAACTATTCGAACTATTCGAAAACCGGTTTTTGGAAAATGTCGAATAATCGATCACCCTAATATATATATACATATATATATAAAAATGAATGTGTGTTTGTTTGTATGTTTGAACGTTATAGACTACTAAACGGCTGAACCGATTTTCTTGAAATTTTCACAGCGTATTCCTGCATGTCTGGAATAGGTAATAGGCTACTTTTTATTTCGAAATTTAAAGTGGGTGATGAGCCACGCCCACATTAAAAAAATATAAAATCCGTATAGTTGAGATAATATAACAGTTAGAGTCCTCAAATTTTGTCGGAGCCACTTTAGTGTCAATATGATCATTTAGGACAAAAAGTAGGCGGACTAGCATTAGGGGGCGTGGTAACTGCCATATAAATTAAATACAAAAATTCGTTTATCTGGGAAACTAATAGAACTAAATTCTTAAAATTTAGCACGAAGAACTTTAACATCCATTTAAACATTTTGGGTAATAAAACATGAGGGGAACGGCACCTCCCATATTAATTAAATACAAAAATTCGTTTATCTGGGAAACTAATAGAACTAAATTCTTAAAATTTTGCACCAAGAACTTTAATATTCATCTGAACATTTTAAGGAAAAAAGAGCGGACTTTCATATTGGGGGGGGGGGGGGGTGGTTTGGAGCCCCATATGAATAAAATAGAAAAATTCGTATATCTGAGAAACTATTAGAGCTAGAATCTTTAAATTTTACTTGAAGAACTTTGACATTCATCTGAACATTTAGAGTATAACGGACGTTATAAAAATGAAAGTGTGTTTGGATGTATGTATGTATGTATGTATGTATGTATGTATGTATGTATGTATGTATGTATGTATGTATGTATGTATGTATGTATGTATGTATGTATGTATGTATGTATGTATGTATGTATGTATGTATGTATGTATGTATGTATGTATGTATGTATGTATGTATGTATGTATGTATGTATGTATGTATGTATGTATGTATGTATGTATGTATGTATGTATGTATGTATGTATGTATGTATGTATGTATGTATGTATGTATGTATGTATGTATGTATGTATGTATGTATGTATGTATGTATGTATGTATGTATGTATCGTAATTATTCTTTGGAAACTATTATAGTTAGAATATTAAAATTTTGCACGAGTAACTTTAACATCCATGTAAACATCTTGGTAAATAAATTGGCGGACTACCCATGAGGGGAGCAGCACCTCCCATATTAATAAAATACAAAAATTGGTTTATCTGGGAAACTAATAGAACTAAATTCTTCAAATTTTGTACTAAGAACTTAAATATTCATCTGAACATTTTGGAGAAAAAAGAGCGGACTTCCGTCATGGTGGCTTGGAGCCCCCTTATAAATTAAATAGGAAAATTATTATATCTGAGAAACTATTAGAGCTAGAATCTTCAAATTTTAATTGAAGAACTTTGACATTCATGTGAACATTCAGAGAATAACGGGCGGACTTTCAATGGGGGGCTTGTCACCTCACATATGAAGTAAATACAAAATTTCGCTTATCTGGGAAACTAATAGAACAAGATTCTTCAAATATTGCAAGAAGAACTTTATTATACATATGAACATTTTGGAGAAAAAGAGGGCGGACTTTCATCTGGGGGCCGTGAGTTCCCATATGAATTAAACAGAAAAATTCGTATATCTGAGAAACTATTAGAGCTAGAATCTTCAAATTCTACATGAAGATCTTTGACATTAATGTGAACATTTAGAGAATAACAGGCGGACTTTCAATGGGGTCTTGGCACCCACTATATGAATTAAATACAAAATTTCGTATATCTGGGAAAATATTAGATTTTTTTTTAATTTGTCATCGATTACATTAAAATCTTAATTAACGTTCGGAAAAAAATTATCTCTGGAAAACATTATAGTTAGAATCTTCAAAATTATTAAGAAGATTTTTTATTTATATTGTTTTTAGGGTAGCAAAGCACACTGGGTATAGCTAGTTTATTAATATTTCTAGGGTATCTTGACTACTTGTTGCCCACGTGCCATCAATTTTCTGGATATAGGATGGAATTGTTATTATAATTTTTGTTCCCGACTTCTCCAGAATTGTCTTTTTGCCGCTCTTATAAGATTTTTAAACTAAATTGGGAGGATTAATTATTTGGTAAAGTTACCGTTACTTTTTGCTTCATTTAATAGCTTCCAAAGACTTTCCTACAGGATATGGTTCTGCTAAGACGTCAGTTTGTAACTCTACTGTGGAGTCTGAAGTGGATATATAGCAGATGTGGTTTGAAGGAGGGCGTATTACTTGCTCCCAATTTTGTGACGATCGGCCCACGTTTAACCCTATCTCCAATATAAACCGTCTTTTAGAAAATTAGTGTTTGATCCATACATTGCTTAAATACATCAGAATTAGAATTCAAAATAAATCTTTGTTACAAAAAATACTCATAACTAGTTTAGGGACCAATTATACTTTCCTACTTGTTCTTAATTGAATTAATATTTTTTAAGATGCTTGCTCACCCAAATTTCTTGTTGATTTCAGGTGCTTGTAACCAATAATGCCAATGGTAATGACGACACTTGTAGCAATGGTAATCCTATTGGCAGTGAGAGTTCTGGTACTCCTATTAACATTATGGAAGATTGTACTGGCGCATTTGCGAAATTTCAAAAAATGTCAACCGACACCAGCGATCCCAACTATCAGTGTACGATGGATACGCTTATGCACGCGTATAACAATCATCGTAATACATCAGCAAACACACAGCAATTTGCCACCTATTGCTTCAACTGATTTGATTTATTCAATCAGATGTATGGATGCGGAGTTGCTAACGTATCGTAAATCAATTGTAATGTACTAACCAACCAAATATGTTGTTCCTTGATTGTATAAAGTCAATATTATAAATTGTTATATAGATTTCCTTGTTTTTGCCAACATTATATTAAAATTTATTATTAATTACTTTAGTTTAAAATTTAAGTTCCTTATGTCAGACATTTTATCTCTTATCCTGTCTCTCTCTCTCTTTCTTAAAACTATTTCGAAGAATACTAAAATAGTAAAGCGAATCATATTTAAAATAATTTTATCAATTGCATTTTGTTTACAAAATAATCGATTTTTAATTTTAATTATAAGTTTTTTTGTAAGTTGTTTTAAGTATTTTAAATTTAGTTTAAGTTAGTAATTTAGTTCATAAAAACTACACTAATTTATATTCGTTGTTCATCTAGCAATGTTGCCAATTCCAGAGCCCATGACTTTGCAACATTGCATGAGATGAATGTATGGGCTCGAATATAGTTTACTGTAGTTTTCTATAGTTTTTAATTAGGTTCCTTTA